TAAGTGCATCGTAAGAAGACAGATTTATGCGGTCACCTGCAGGACAATCGGAAGATTACACCTTTAACTTTATTCAAGTGCAATGTGATTATAATATAAGGTTTTGATTGTACTTTATTGTACACTTTATTAGGGATGCTCTTTTAAAAAAAAATTATTTATAAATGAAATAATTAAAAAGGGCAGAAAAATTGAAATACACATCTAAATTAAATGACTGAACAAAAAAATTGAATAAAAGATGTAGGAAATATGCTTCAAAGACTGGGGAAAAAAATCTGTCAATGACTTTGACGTGCACGAAAACCAGCCATGTATTAGACCCGGAAATAACATCTCTATATAGATATTCTATACTATAATATATCTTTTTTATATAAAGTATAATATTATACGTATAACTATAATATAATAATATAATATAACATTGTATTATAGTTATTATATCCGAGTTGTCTCGGCATTACACAGCATTAGGTTAACATTTCAATAAACGAGCGTGTACTACAATTATGAGCCATTCTATAAGGTGACATTTCAGCACTTGACAAACGGATAGCGACTCCTAAGTAGCACTTAAAGCACAGCTACGTGCGATTGTGTTAAGTGCATTTTTGGGAAACACACGTGAAACAATAACGAACAATCGTAAACTGACTCATAGAAAATGCTCTTAAGCGGTAAGATCAGTCGTTATCGAGAAACGCAGCCCTGGCCATACAGGTTTGAAACAACATGATGGAGAGTAAATGATAACAGAAACTTAATTTATTGGGTGAACCATCAATTTTTAAAAAAATGCTGAGTCAAAAATGCTGTACAATTAAAAAACAAACTTAAAGAAATTAGTGAAAGGCACTTCTGATGCCGATATTAAAACTAACAAAATCTAAATGTTAAATGTCTCAATTTAAATGTACTTAAATGTTACATAAATACTAAAAAGATAGATACCGTAATGCATAAAATGTAGGGCACTATAGAAAAATCAATTCTATCTTAACTAAGGCGTTCCTCTCTGATTTAAACGCTCAGTTTGCCAGGATAAGATAAATACAGGATACGAAAATACTTTAGAGTTAGAAACGTGACTATAGATTTGATTATAGTGCCATTTTTGCTCTCAGAAAACATCCACTTGATCTCTTCCTGTCCTGCACAACTCATATTATTCAATAACTGAGATGATAATGCCTGAAGCCTCAAGTGACATGCAGCAACGTCTCAGTATCCAGCAATGAAGCCACACAAGCTCTTCTTTCCTGCTACTGATCACCATCACTTATAGAACTTCCTGTGCTTTAATTCACTGTATAAATGCATTTGCCTGATCTGTCATAACATCATTTCTCTTCTGTCAGCCTCACTAGCATATCAGTAAATAACACGTCTTATACTGTAGATGTGGCCCTTGCAACACACAGTCACGCATTACGGTGTCCACTGTCCATTACATTAATTCTATTAGTGAGCATGGAAAAATACTAACAGGCAACATGCACTTAATCTATAATTATTTTGTGGAACCGTAGGTAATGCAGGTACACAACATTAGTGTTTCTGCTACTAAAACTGATTATATTAATGTGCAAAAAGGATTTTGCCAAGCGTTCATTTTAACCAGGGTTATTATACAGTAGTTATCTAAAATTGAAACTAACATTTAAAACAATATAAAAACATTCTTGTTGTTTGAAATAAAATAAACGTTAAATGAAATTATATATATATATAATTTTGGAAGTGATGGTGAGTGTATTGTGTAAAGAATGGGCTGATGCCATAGAGGAGGGACCAGAGAAGCTCTGTTGCAAAACCTACAGTAGTTAGCTGCCTACCTAGACAGCATTTTAAAGTGGCAAAAGCCGTCTAAAATGTAAGCAACAACATACCGCTGGTTCGAACAAACTGCAAGGTATCACCACGTGCTGATCACAGAAGCAATCTCAGAATACACTACGACAAATTCAGTAAACAAATCCAAGATGCTGAAGAGTGACAACAATTATATAACAGCTCAACATGTGGAGTTACAAGAGTGAAGATATTCAGTGTAAAAAATTAAAAAAGTGATATTGCTTAAATACAATTATATTTGATTCAATATTCAAGTATTGATCAAATAAATAAAATCAAAATTAAAAACGGACTACTTTTACTTTTTCTTCTAATTTCTTTTTAAACATTTTTATTTCTTACTTGTTAGTTATTTATCTCTCAAGCACCTTTTAAGATTTGTAAAAAATAATTTTAAAGTATGCAAAGCGCTTTGAATTACCAGTGTGTATGAAATACAGTAAATAAACAAAATATATGAACTATATTAAGTATGTCTTTCTTTTTAATGTTATTTTTATTTCTGATGCACCTTTTTGTAATCATATTACAGTATGTAAAGCACTTTGAATTAACAATGTGTATAATAAACAAATACATTATATTAATTTTCCAGCAATTTTTTTTTATTTCTCATGCACATTTTATCATTTTTAATCATTTTGCAGTATGTAAAGCACTTTGAATTAACAATATGTATGAAATACCATAAACACACAAAATATTAAATACTAAATATTGCTTTGCTATTTATTGTTATTTTTTATTTCTCTTTATAGTTGTACAAATAATTTTTCAGTATTTAAGGCACTGAATTATAAATGTGCATGAAATAAAAAAAATATATAATTTTTTTTCATGCACCTTTTACAATAAATAAATAAACTATATTAAATTTTAAACCTTAATGCAATATTGTATCATGTCTCTTGTTGTTCTTCAACTTAATAGTGTTATTTGTGTGTTGCTACAGAACGAATAGGGGTCACTGAAATATCCCAGGCTCAGTTTTAAGAATGCTGTGTGGCCTTTATCTCCAGTAACGATGCTCTGGTGTGTGACCTTGCTGTGGTAATTATGGAGGTATATGCAGGAGGAGATTAGGCCTGTAATCAGCGCTGGAAATTAAGTCTATTGTGTTCAGAGGGAGAGAAGCAACGATATTATTATCTGTGCCACAGCAACAATGTGAGAATACCTGCATGCCTATAAAAGAGCTGTAATACAGTGCGCTTAAAGGAACAGTTCAGGCAAAAATGCTAAATCTGTCACTATTTATATGCTGTTTTTTTCTGTGAAAGATAAAACATGAATCTTTACACAGGTCTGTTCCATAATAGTCTTCCCCTCCACCGAAGCTCTGAAATCTCATTCACAATCTCATTCAGTGCAACGAACCAGGTTTGAGGTTCTTGACAGTGCTGGTTCTAATAAGCATCTCAAGTGAACAAATGAGATGCCATAGCTGCAGCGGACAGGAAGATTATCCATAATAAGCTGAGGAGAGGTTCTTCAAAAATGGTTTGCATTGAAAAAATAACAGTGACAACATAATGTAGAGTAAATAATGACAGAACTTTCATTTTTGGGGAAATATTCCTTTAAACACTCTCAGATTATTTAGGTATATCAGGGAAAATGTGGAATAAGACATCCTCTCATCTCCACTCGATCATCAAACTGCAATGTATCCTCCATAACTTTCAATTATAAAACATAGCGAGGATGCCAATGAAACAATAAGCAAGAGCCCTCATGTATGATGCATTATAAAGATATATATAATGTACAATATAATGCATTATATTTTTTCATAAATAATTGTAACCAAAGTTAAAATGCATAATAATATTTGCAGACTCCTTGTTACACCTGAAATTGAGTGTCAAGTATTAGGTAAAGAGTTAACAAACTTCCTCTTTCAGCATTGACACACACACACAAACACAGCAACCTCATATTCTATCAGTCTATTCCCACACTGCCTTTCATATCCTCCAGGAACAACGCTGCAATCTCATAATGTCGAGCAGAATAAAAGCATCATCTCGGGATCAATAGGTAAACAAGGCAAACAGCAGTCGTGTCTCCGGAGGGGGTTGGGTTAGCGGTTAACCCTGTGTCGCACATGTTACCCTACCAATTCATGAATGAAAACAGTGTGTAAATTCAACCCAATCACAGACATCAATGGCACACAGCGTTTGTGAATATGCATTTAGCCTGTTAGACAGCTTGTGAATGCAAAATAGATGGCAGGTAATTAGAAATGAACTAATGTTAGCTTTTTTTGAAGGGTTTCATGATCACAGCATGATTACAGTTTCATGCACTCATATAATCACTAATGAAGCCTGAGGCAAATGTGCACAAACCTGTGTATATGAGCATATCAAACCTATAGAGTCAATGTCATCCCCAAGGACACGTCTTAATTAATAAAGAGAGAGTGTCTGGATTTCATGTAAAATTTAAGCAGCTAATGCACTTCTACTGTCAGCTGGGAGAGCTTTTGCCTGGTATGTTGCAAAATGGCACATTTGGAAGAAGAAGAAGAAAAATATTTTTCTGAAATGTTTTTGACTTTTTTTGGCTGCCAATTTGTCAGTGGCATTTGACTTTGAAATGGAATCTGATATTTTTATGGAGTTAAATATATGTAACTGTAACTATTTAAAAGCATTAATACCATTGATACACCTTTAAAAATAGCTAATTTAGACGCACTCTTAAAAATAAACATTAGCAGCAATGCCATATGGAGCATTTTTGGTTCCCAATGAATGTTTTAGTGACCAGTTCTTAAAAGAACTACTTTTTTTCTTAGTGTAAAGAACATTTTAATAATCTAAAGAATCTTTTTCCACTATAAAGAACCTTTTGTGCAATGGAAATGTTAAAGGTTCCTCATGGAACCTGACAATAAAAAAACTTTATTTTTAAGAGTGCATCAATCATGGCTCTCTCTTTATAGCCTTTCATTTGCTTTCTTCTTCTTCGATAATGGTTTGACACTATTAAAATAGCAGGCAGTTTCTAACAAATAATACATTTTAAATTGAACCCTCATTACATGCTATTTTGGGTCAGTCCAACTACATTATTTCCCCCCCATGCACGGGTGTAAAGAGAGCAGTGTTTCGGAGGGACACGGAACTGGTTACCTGAAATCACTGTAGGGGTGAATAATCCAGAAGCCGGCTGATTTGACCCGTTCTTGCTCCCGTTCCACCGCCTTCTCGCTCCCAAACATCCTCAGGGAAAACTTGTTGACCCCGGGCTGCAGCATCGACCCGAATTGCCTGTGCATGAAGCCCGCTTGAAAGTACCTCTCGTCGTCAGGCAGGATCTGCTCGATGTCCTCCAGCTTTATAAAGCCAGCCTGCTGATCCGGGACGCCCGGTTGCTGCTGCTGGCTCGCACCGGCGACATCCTCTCCCCCGCCGCCGCCACCGCCGCCCGCGGCTCCAGGAGGGCTCTCCTCGCTCGGAGTGACTTCTCCCTCCGTGATCAGACGCCTCTCCTCCGCTACATCCGAGTCGTGGACGTGCCTACTGGTGATGGAAGAAAGGCTGCCTCGGAACCTCCGGCAGTCCCCGTTGGAGCTGGTCTTTACGGGTCTCCCGATGTCCGTCTCCATGATCACGCACTCTCCACTTCTGGTCTCCCCGAGGGCTCCGGCGGAAGGCAGGGGCTTCATCCGGATGCTCTTCCTCCGGGTGTCCTTGTCGGCGTCTTCTGCATCACCCATGATGGACGCTTTCTGCCCGATGTGCTGTGGCAAACTGTAGAGCCTTTTACGCATGGACGAATGCAACCTGTCCATTATGACATTGAAACGGGTGCGCGATCAATTCAATGACAAACGAATCCAATTCGGGTGTAATTATTGCCACAAATCCCTGTGCACCAAAACCCGAATAGTCTGAAGGGTCAAACCCACCTGTCTTTCGCTCAAGCACATGCCACGGCGCATTAGGCTACCTGGCTGCCCAGCTTCGCCTGATCCAGTGGTCTCCAGCTTCAAGGCACTGACTGTGTTGCTCTGCGAGCACGTATAAAGAAAGTCTGAGGAATTGCAGATCCGCGGCGCGGAGGTCACGGACCCTCAGGAGGACCCCCGTCGGGTGTCAATCACAAGCAAACGCCCGCGATCGAGTAGCCCACATCACCGCCTTGCGCCGCGTCCCGACTCGCTCTGCTCCCGTGAATATTCATGCTGATGCTGATCTGTCGGGTTGCCATAGAAGCGAGAGCGGCAGCTCAGCCCACCCACTCAGTGCCAGCCAGGTCCCACACACCCAGTCTAACCAAAAATTATTCACACACCACGTATAATTTATTTATTATAATTTTTTTACTAGTGGGTGCAGGACACTATAGTTCATTTATGTAGGCCTAAGTGAGGATAACAAAATAAAATAAACTGTGACATATTATCAGTGTTGGGGAAAGTTACTTTTAAAAGTAATGCATTACAATATTGCGTTACTCCCTAAAAAAAGTAACTAATTACGTTACTTTGTTACTTTTTATGGAAAGTAATGCGTTATATTACTTTTGCGTTACTTTCGCGTTACCTTTTAAATATGAGCAGGGCTTGATTGTTTTTAATATAAGAAGTTCTATTTATAGCAAATATAAAAGCCCTTTCACACCAAAAAGTGTAATGAATAAACCTCAGGCTGAAGGAAAAGTAAATTCACGTCTGTACAGTACACTGTAAAAAAAAATCCCGTAAAAAAACGGTAAAATTTCCGGGGTGCCGGAAAATTACCGTTAAATAAACGGTAATTACATTAAATAACAGTAATTTTCCGTAATTAAAAATACAGCGTTTTGCTGTCACTTTACATGAGATTTTCTGTTTTTTCTTCAGCTTTTAATGTTCAATATGGAGCTTTAACAATAAAACTTTGATCACAACTGCAACAATGTTCCAATAATTTGTTCATAACTGCAATAGTATAAAAATATTTGTAAAAATGATCATAACTGCAGCAATATTTCAATTGTAAAATTAGTCCAAAAGTTAAAATTTGATCACAACTGCAACAAAAATTCTTCATACAGTGGACTTCCAGTAAAACAGATAAAAAATTTGGGACCAAAAATTAGATTTGACACTTTGAGCTGACCGTGTTTTGTTACATAGCCTACCTTTCTATCAAAGTGATCTGACATTATCAAGATGAGTTTGTATTGACTCAGTTTAACTCTTGAGCTCGTCATATTTTATTACCATTTTCTAAACTAGCCTATGAATAAACTGTGATAATGTGAGAAAATCTGAAGGTGTCTGAATACATTTGGACTGTAAGGTTCTCCTCACGCATTTTACACAAAACCAACATTTAGAGTGGCTTTTTCGACTCAGATGACATTGTCAGATTATAAAAAGTTAAAATTTGATCACAACTGCAACAAAAATTCTTCATACAGTGGACTTCCAGTAAAACAGATAAAAAATTTGGGACCAAAAATTAGATTTGACACTTTGAGCTGACCGTGTTTTGTTACATAGCCTACCTTTCTATCAAAGTGATCTGACATTATCAAGATGAGTTTGTATTGACTCAGTTTAACTCTTGAGCTCGTCATATTTTATTACCATTTTCTAAACTAGCCTATGAATAAACTGTGATACTGTGAGAAAATCTGAAGGTGTCTGAATACATTTGGACTATAACCCTTTAAGGTTCTCTTCACGCATTTTACACAAAACCAACATTTAGAGTGGCTTTTTCGACTCAGATGACATTGTCAGATTATTAATTTTTTATTTTTAGAGACCGGTGTCAGTAACCCAGAGGAAAATAACGTTAGATTTATACGAATTAAACCACTGCTTTATACACGTTGTCGTTTTAATACATGTAGTTCCTCAAATTATAACGAATTGGTAATTTCAAAACGTAATATTACATTATTAAACCAAATTTACACTAAAACACATTATTTTCATTTTCTGACTAACATAAGATTCGACGTTGAAAATGTTGACGCACGCGCACTACTGTTACGCTAATAGGCTACGCCGTGTTGCCAACTAATTTTCAGTTGCTAAAAGATGACATTGCGCGATGACGTCATTACGTAATCACGATGCTAAATTGTCAAATCTCAGCAAAGACAGATATATATTTTATATATGTTAATTTAGATTCGTTCGTAGCAATATAAATGCATAATATAATATTGTAAATTTTTAAATTCATAGAATTATCGAAAACGTACACATTTTTGAACGATCTAAGTTTTATACTTTAAAGCAGTTTATTAGTAGTTAGTTAGTATGCCGCACTCTAAGAAAAGTAAAACAGTTATGCACAATCTACTGCGTTAATATGAAGGACTTTTCTGGATTGATTTTTCCACAGGTTTTTGTACCTGCATGCATTTTTAATTACGCGTTGTATTTTGTGTTTTCGGGTTACAACGGATAACGGATAATGTCTTGGAAAATTACTAGCACCGTTTCCATTTTTCTGCATATTTTTCTTACAGTGAGAACTCATCAACAATCAAGCTACTAACAAAGTGTCTCATAAATGAAAAATAACTATTCAATTATTATTACTATTAAACAATTGCAAATAGCAGCTAACTTAATTCCTGTAATGTGTGTACTGCTAGGCATCTTTGATTTCCTCTTTTAGTGTAATTTAAATGGTAAATTGTGCCTTTTTATCGTTTGAGTCACTTATCAAAAGTTGCTAAAAGCTGCCAAATAAATTAAAAAAAATAGCTAAATTTGTTGCTAGGTGCTTTTGGAAGAGTTGCTAGGGTAGTCTGAAAAGTGACAACACTGAGGCTACGCGATTTAAATATTAACCGTCAATCCGCCTCAGCCTTTTTTCAACCGTTTTACGCGCTTAATTTTCGGGAAAATAAGTAAACGCGGACATGGAGAGTGATTCTTCGTACAGAGAACATTCGAGAGACACGACGATCTCCGCTTGTGTTTGGAAACTGCGACGCTACGGTCGATTTCTCCCCGTAGGTAGTAACGTTAGTAACGTTAACGTTATCAGCGCATGGAAGGTGAGACATGAGCGAAAGTCCTGCCCTTTACGGAAAGAAAAACGGGACATTTGCGTGTTATGAGTGAAATGTTTTAATTTCTTATTCATACAGACATCTCAGAGTGGGGAAAAAAGCAAACCGCATTCGTTTTCAACCACGAGTTGTTGTTGTTTCTTCGAAACTCTGAAAAAAAACAAAAGTTTAATGAGTAGAACAAGTTGGTAAGATAACTATTAGTAGGCTACTGCTAATAAAATCAATAATTTTAAAATAGATTTGTTTAAAGACAGTGTTAGTGTTGTTTGCTCAACCATTAAATTGTTGACTTGTAGTTTTGGGTCGTTCTTAAACGATTCGTTCATTTGGAACGAATCTTTAATGTGACTCGGGAAGAACGAGTCGTCTCGGGGAGTGATTCGTTCAGTCGCGCATGCGCAACATCATATAGGTTCTGTACTGGAGTTAGTCAAGTAGTTCACCTTCTGGTTTTCCGAGTCATTCGTTCATCACGTGACAGCCCCTTAAGCTTAACCAATGCAGTCTGAGCCGGAAAGAGACTTAATAATAATAACCAACTCTTTATTTCCTTTGTTACAACATTCAGTGTTATGGAAAAGAACCATAATGACAGAAATCCACACATTTATAAACTGTAAGAAGTAAAAAGCTACATTTTGAGACCAGAAACGCATCACGTAACTAAGAGTAAATAATAATTATAATAATGATGATAATAATAACTATGCACCCGTTTGTAAGGAAGCTTGTAAATGAAATAATTTCTGCTGAACGAGACTCAAAGGTCAGAGTCGGTAAAATGATCCGAACTTCCCATCACTAGACTGTCGCTATATGATGTCTAGGGTGTTCTGGGTGTTTTGGGTGGAAACAGAGTTCATCCCAAGTCCCTGTTAGATTCTGTTCTAAACTAGTTTCTAATTTGTGTTTCTTTCAGATTTTCGAGTCCAGTGAAAGCGCTGGCCAGCTGGAGCTGAATATTCTGGGCTCTGGTCATCTGCTAGTATCTCAAGGCCAGGAACTCATGGTAAGATTATATGAAAACACATAGGATCTGTCTAGTGACCAATGAAAATGTTTTTTTTTTGGGCTGTTTATGAAATGCCACTCTCTAAGCCTTTGACACTCTTCTTCCCATCAGGCTTTAAGTGCAGGGTCAGGATAGCGCAGGTTCCGCTGAGCCCATCATAAGAGCTTGACCGTATTTCTTTCCACCCGCAGAAAGAACAGCATAATCCCCTTCCCGTCCCACTGGGCCTGTCGCTGTCCCTTTGGGATTGCCAGGCTGAGTGCTTCGGATATCTCTCAACAATAAGCCTCAATCTTGGACTCGGGGACACAACAGTCTCTGGCTCCTCGTGGTGAGCCGGGGAGCTGCATTTGGAGAATGAGTCACATTTCCAGCTTTCATGCAGAACAACGGAGCCAAATGAGGCAGCGTGCCCATCCAGAGCAAAGCACGGGGTGATTTTGAGAGCAGGGACCGGCTTCCAGTCATGGATATGAGTTTATAATCTGAACAACCCTGTTTCATTATATATAAGAAGTTTACAGACATTTCCATTTTCCAAACTGAAAAAAAGCTCTACATCAAAAATGTGTTTCAAAGTTTTTAGATCGTGTTTTTGTTCTAAACACAATCCAGTCATTTTTTGCTTGCACACCAAACCAGATGCAAAAAACAATGCCGTGCAACGCTGATGCGATATTTCACAAGCAAAGATATTAATTTGAATCTTATCCTCTTTGAGCATTTTTCTGCAGAGAGTAAAAATCTGTTTTTAGTTTAAAGTATGTACTTTAACTCCGTAGAATTATGTAGTTTATTCAGTCACTGCACTTTCTTCAAGTATCAAGTGATCATTAAGTGATTTATGATAAATCCAAGAAAATAATTCT